GATAGTTACGTGGACATGTAGCTCCATGTTACATGTATGCATAAAAGAACAAAGCCCAAACTGCTAGTAAAAGTTTTTTGTTTCCCTTTATCATCTAGACTGATCATTTTTCCTTTTCAAAGATCAGGGGTGAGACTGAGCAATATTTCCATGCTAGATGAGAACCCACATTTTTACACTCAAAATAAATGTGTTGGTTTTTAAATAAACATCAATTATTCTTCCATAGGTATTCTCTGTTTGAATGTATTAACTCAGAATTTAATATGTATACAGCTCCTGCATAATGTGAATATTTGTTGCACATGGAGACATGTAGCAGCAGAAAGAGGATAGTTCAGTGATGCAGAATTCATTGGGTATGCAATCGTGAAAGGCCCCAAGAAATCTCACTCTTCAACAGTCTCCTGCAGATACTGTGCATTGCCCTTTCAAGCTTATCTCTGAAAGCCTGAGCACCAGAGCCACCCCTGCACAACTGAGTCATCTTTCTCAGAACTCCATAGCAGTGGCCAAACACCCCTCACAATCAAAATGGTTGATTGCAAAATTCTAAGTGTACGTAATTGCCGGAGATGATCGGACCCAACAATTACTCTTAATCTCAGCGTCTCAAAATAGATTTAAGTGCATGTAGACGTGGAACAGCCTTAATTAATCTTTACAAGGCAAAGTTGTAGCCTTAACAGAAAGAGAAGGACTTTGAACCACAACAAGAAAAGTCTAATAAGAGGCTTTCAGGTGATGGCTTTTGACTTTTTGCCTTTAAGGCATGTGGTCTAAATTGCATACATTGAATGGCTTTCTCCTCCACCTTCCCAGCCTAAGAAAATCATCTTGTTGGCATGTTCTTGGATATAAACTCTCCCCCCCCATCCCCCAAGTGGTTCTCTGACCTGGAGCTTCACTGTCCTGGTCTCCTCCGTCACACCAGGAGGAAAAGTCACTTTAATGTTGGGATCCACCGTTGAAAAGAGCAGCGCCCCTTCCTGGGGGACTCTGCATTCATTCTCTACAAGTCGAGAGACAACCACGAACCAGGAGAAGTGCGGAACGCAGCAGCACGCCAAACGTTTCTGTTACAGGAAGCAGAAGAACAAAACGGGCCCTTTACAAAATGCCAGCACTTTAAACAAGCAAAGGAAAACGGGGGGTGGCTTTGTTTTGTCTGCTTGTTTTGCTTCATCAAGAGTGTAAGAAGGACAATTTGCATATACAGTTCTACAAGCAGCCTCCCCCAATCTGGTACTCTCTGGGTGATAGACTACAATTCCCAGCATCCCCAACCACATCCATCTCCATGGTGTCTCCTCCTACTCTCTACTTAAGTTAAGCTGCCCCAAATCCTGTTCCTCACAGGGGAGCTGTTCTAGCCCATTGATAATTTTGGCTGACCTTTTCTGGTTCTGTAATATCTTTTGTCTGAAGTGTGGAGGCAGAACTGTAGACAAGTTACTTTTTTGGACGACAACTTTCAGGAATCTCCCAGCCTCCACAGTCAGGAGGATTCCAGGAGATGTAGTGCCAAAAAGGCTTGATTCGGAACAGTGTTGTCAGACCACAAAATTGAATACAGGCAGTACAACACTGGCAATATGACTTTCTGCTCCTTTCCCAATGACACCCAATATGGAACTTGCTTTTTTCCCCCACAGACCAAATGACATAACGCTTTTCAGCCTACCTTCCCTTTGCGTCTTATTCTGGCTCTTAAATCACTCCACTTCTGTTCACTGAAGGTTCTAATTATGACTTCACGATTAAGCCAGCTCTGCGGGAAGGCATAAGGCATCCAGATTTGCACCTCCTGAAACATGAGGCAGAACAGATGGCTTCTGTGAGTTGGCCACAGGGAAGGCAACCCTACTTAAGTGGGATGGCATGCAGAGCAAAAGAAGGAGCCAAGGTCATCAGAGCACTTCATGTCTGCTGCACCCCACAGAGGCACCAGGAAGCAGTGAGGACAATGGGAGGAGGCTCACCTGGCAACTTGTGTGTTGCTCTTCAAGCCCAAGGGAGTACAGCAGTTAAAACACAAAAGAGACAGGAGTCTCACAGGGACACTAGAATGGAGTGGGAAGCCTTTGTCTTTTCAGCTTCGAGAAGCCCCCCCCCCATCATGGCCCATGGCAAAGGATTATGATAGCTGCAGTCCATAACATCTGAAGGACTAAGTGTTCTCCACCTTTGTGCCCAAAATTGGATGTAGCTTTATCCCACAGAGAAATGATAGGAGAAGAATCTGAACACCCACCTATCCTGTGCTAGTCCACAAAGTTTTGGCAAGCTGCATGCAACAATTAGTACGAAGGCTACTAGAATGGACTGTATAACCTGAACAGTACACTCAGCAGCTGCCATACTAGAATGTCATAGCTTACTTTGAGTGGGTCAGTGTCAAACTAGCCAAGTGATTACGCCTTTAAGCATGGGGATTTTGTATTATGCACAGTTCTTACTCTAAAGACATTAATAATATGCAATGACATGTTGCAAAAGGTTTCTTTTACTACTGATATTTTTGTAATATTTGTATTGACTTTGTGCAAATGGGCTTTTATATGCTTAATTGCGAAACATGGATGGAAGAAAAGTGGGGTATGCATATACTTCAGTGATTATTTTCCAACATAGGAGAAGTCTGGTTTCAAATGTCTTTGTGTCATGCCCCTCTGATCTGGCAATCCATTTCCCCATTCCCACAGCCAGCCTCTAGATATGTGAAATGCATATGGTATGTTGCTCAAGAAAGCAGACCGCCAAAGAATTGATGCCTTTGAATTGTGGTGCTGGAGGACACTCTTGAGAATCCCCTGGACTAAGTGTTCTCCACCTTTGTTCCCAAAATTGGATGTAGCTTTATCCCCTGGACTGCAAGGAGAACAAACCTATCCATTCTAAAGGAAATCAACCCTGAGTGCTCACTGGATGGACAGATCCTGAAGCTGAGGCTCCAGTACTTTGGCCATCTCATGAGAAGAGAAGACTCCTTGGAAAAGACCCTGATGTTGGGAAAGTGTGATGGCAAGAGGAGAAGGGGATGACAGAGGATGAGATGGCTGGACAGTGTCTGCGAAGCAACCAACGTGAATTTGACCCAAATGTGGGAGGCAGTGGAAGATAGGAGGGCCTGGCATGCTCTGGTCCATGGGGTCACAAAGAGTCGGACACGACTAAACGATGACGATGTTGCTCAATATACCCTTGCCCTCTGATCCCTGGCACTATAAACATATCTGGAGCCTTGAGTCCCAATTATGCTGGTATTAAGTGAAGCCAACCTCTTTAATATTACTTTGCACAGAGGAAACAGCTATTTGCAAGCAGTCCAGCCTTTACCATGTTCAGCACATAAGTAATCTTTGGCTTGCCAAACTGATTTCTTTCACTCCTAGCATTTGAGTCACAAGGCTTGTGTGAATCAACACTATTCTGATTTAACTACTTTGATGATTACTTTTACCTTCTCGAAGTCCATCCCATGAGGCCGCAGTTCCAGGACTTCGCTTAGCAAGATGTCATGATGCTTCAGCTTCACCCACTGAGGATCAGGGGAACATTTTTGGAAATGGATCGTTACTGCAGAAGTGGTGGCACCCTGGGGAAAGCAAAGCTGGGTACCACAGACCAGGGAGACTCTGCAGCCTTCAGGAGTCACGACGAAGCTTATAAGACATGAAGAGAAGGAGCAATGCTTTAATGGTATTATAACCCTACTTTCTCCGAAGTCCTTTGTAAGACTTCATAAATAGGAAAATCTGGAGTTGGAATTCTAAACTGACGGACTTGGTTTTCTCCAAACTACTTGACAAAAGGTGTTGAGTCTCTAGCTAACACGACCCTCAACCTGCCCCTCTTAAGAGATCCAAAGATTGGTAACTGAGCTTTGTGAAGTGACAAAAAGGAATGGATACTCCATATGGTGTGAATAGTTACCTAAAACTAATATGATTCTTGCCATTCACAGATGTTCTTGCCCTCCATTCCTGTGTAGGCTTGGAGGGAAGGAATCAACAGAAAGCCATTTGCAGCTCCCTGCCTACTCTAGCTGACCTATGGACAGGTATCAGCATCAGTTCTCCAAAGACAACAACACTTAGTGTCCAAGATGCTACCAGCAGTTTTTATGGCAACACTCCAAGCACTGCTGCCGCTGGCTAGCAGAGAGACAGGCGGGCAGAAGCAAAAGCAAATACAAGTGTTCTGAACAGCCTGGTAGCTGCAATTTGGAAAAGGTACCTTTATGGGTCACAGGTCCAGAACTTGCTCAGACTCAGAAATTCTGTGAGCTCCATCTGAAAAGTAGTATTCCAAAGCTCTGTCCATCATTCAGTCTACTAGATTCTGTTTGGATTGGTTGCTCTATTAATAACTAAAATTCAAATTCAAATCTGGATACCTCTTTAAAAACTCTGAATTGAAAACTGCTTTAAAAAGAATTTTGGGTCCATTTGGTAATCCAAGAGGATGTCAACAGGACAAATTGAGATGATCAGCAAAATGTAGGAAAACATCAGCTGAAAGCACTACATGAAATACCTGTCCTCACCAACTCCAAGGAACAATCTTCTTGATTCTTCTAAGGCAGAGTCATCTGCAACAAATGGGAAAAAGCAAGCACGATAGTATATTCATATGAATACATACAAAAAAGTGTTAGTTCTTCTCTTGGAATTAGTTAGATTCACTGCAAAACAGGGCTGGCCCAAGATATTGTTCCATAGCTATTCTTTCTTTCTTTCTTTCTTTCTTTCTTTCTTTCTTTCTTTCTTTCTTTCTTTCTTTCTTTCTTTCTATCTATCTATCTATCTATCTATCTATCTATCTATCTATCTATCTAGTCCTTTTAGACTCCCCCCAAAAATTGGAGTCAATGCGGCTTATATTAAATATAGGTTACACATAAAAACAGAAATGTTTGAAAGATAAAAGGCAATAAAACAAACCATAATACGCCATAGCCAGAATCCTATTTGCTTTTCTTTAAAAGGTTAAAGGTAAAGGTTCCCCTTGACAATTTTTTTGTCCAGTTCTATCTATCTATCTATCTATCTATCTATCTATCTATCCCGCCCTTTTAGACTCCCCCCAAAAACTGGAGTCAATGCGGCTTATACTAAATATAGGTTACACATAAAAACAGGAATGTTTGAAAGCTAAAACCAATAAAACAAACCAGAACACGCCATAGCCAAAATCCTATTTGCTTTTTTGCTTTGCTTTACATAAAAAAACTCTGTATCTTGTATACATGATTCTTTTCTTTACATAAAAAAAACTCTGTATCTTGTATACATGATTTTTTTAGTTGTCCACCATAGACTCAGCCAAATCACATACTCAGCTGCATGCCCCGATGTGCAACAGAAGTCAGAGTACTGCAAAAACTAGCTGTACAAATTTTCATCTATGCTCAGTATTTCATAAGAGAATTCTGGCCACTATTATAAGAAAAAACAAGGATGTAGATAACAAAGTGAGGAGCTAAACTGGAACATTAGCTGCATCTCCTGTGATATAGATTTCCATGAAATTTGTTCAGTGAATCCTATGAAAAACCATTGTACACCTAAGGGTGGTAGTGATTCTTATTGTATAATCATTATTGTTAATAAAATATTTCTTAAAGCATTGTCTCTGCCTTATGTTGTCGGTGTTGTTATTATGTGCTATCAAGTTAGAACTGACTAATAGTGACCCTAGTAGGGTTTTCAAAGCAAGTGAGATATTAAAGGAGCGATTTTACCAAATAGTGACCCTGGTAGGGTTTTAAAGCAAGCGAGATATTAAAGGAGCGATTTTACCAGTCCCACGTTTTTGGGAGTTTTCATGACTGAGTGGGGATTCAAACCCTGGTCATTTTTGGGAGTTTTCATGACTGATTCAAACCCTGGTCTCCAGTCCTGGTCCATCACTCAGTCCAAAACACCACACTGCATATCCTATCTGCCTTGGACTGGGGCTTATCTGTTTGACTCTTTGGATTACCCTGATGGTTGCTGCAATGTTTTTAATCTCAAGATCTCTGCTAAGAATGGTTGCCTTATTTGGTATCATTACTTTATCTGTTCTGCTTTGTTGATGGCCTGTTTTTACTAGAATTGTTCTTTCTAACCTGCTTTATCTTGTACTTGCCTGGAGAACAATTGTTAATGGGTAGCCAGAAAATGGAATGCATAAATAATAACAGCAACAAATGTCTGAGATTGGGTTTGGTTTTATTACTCCTACATCTTGTAAACTCTTGAGAAGTAAAAAGGGCTTATCAATCCAAAAAAAGGTAGGCCCACTGAATCAATGCCTGACATCCTGTTTCTGAGTGCAGTAAGTTACACCAGAGCAGGCCCATTGAATCAAGGGGGATTTGGTGAAGCAATTCCTCAAAAAACTCCATTGATTCAAATGGGTCTACTCTAGCTATGAGTTACTGTCACATTTCAACTAGAGTAGGCCCACTTGAATCAATGAAATTTACTGTTGCAGAGTTTTGAATTTCTGGTAAAAGTCTTCTTTTGCTACATAATAGAAGTACAGAGAGGAGAATAGTTACAGAGTCCACCGCCTACTCATTAACTGGCTCTTAAAGTCTCTATAACTCACTCTGAGACACTTGTAGGAGAAAGAATAAAAACTGTTTATTTACTTAATATCTTCTCGAAATTATAGAGTTGTATAAACTGCTTTCTTTACTGCACACATACTAGCAATCAACCAAACAGATCAAGAGCAACAAACAACTGCCTCCAATTGACCAAAGAGAGAGACCGAGCACTCAGCAGAAAGGTGGGGATCTCTTCAAATTCAGAAGCTGGAAGGAATCATTGGTTAATGCTTGATAGATAATCACCAGTGCCCAGAAAAGTTCCTCAGTCAGTCAAACTACAGACAGCAAGCAAGGTTGTAAATGAAACTCTAACATGTATAAAGGAACTGACTAACCAAATCCCCACTGATTCGGTGGGTTCTAATTGCAATGAAACAGAATTTCAACGAGTGGAAGATTTCACAAGTTTACTACTGTACTGATTTAACAAGTCTATTTGATTCAATGGGTCTTCTCTAGTTTGGCAGTGGAAGATTTAACAAGTTTACTACTGATTTAACAAGTCCATTTGATTCAATGGGTCTTCTCTAGTTTGGGCTAAATTCCATACATTCAGCTTGTCTATACGCATGACGCAAACTGAGCATCCTGCTGTGTCAGCCAAACAGTCAATCAAAGATCACTTTCTGAATTTCACTGAAGAGGAAAAGAGACCAGCTGCTCCACAGACAAATTAGGCAGAATCAAAGCAATTACCTGGCCGCAGAGGCACTTCTGGTTCTCCTAGAGGATTACCACGGAGATGCACAAAAGGGAAGCTCTGGATCTCCCAAGGGATGCTGCGCAGCCTATTATTTTGCAGATCAAGCCTGGACAAGTTGGGAAGATGGGCAAGGGATGCGGGAACTGTCACCAGAAGATTGCTGTGAAGTTGTAGCTGCCGCAGAGATTGTAAATTGTCTGCAAGTCAGAACAGGAATTTTAAAAAGAGGCCCCTCTTAAATCCATATATGCCTAAGTGTATACGCATTATGTGTACATAGAGGGATATGCCTATGCCTGGGTGTGTGTGCATACACCTCTCACTTAGTCCACAAATTACAAACCCCTTCCAAAAAGGGGCCTTGCTTTAACCTGCCGCACACTATAGTCATCAATTCAGTATTGCTAGATTATACAGAAACCCAGATTCCTTATACAAATAGTCATTATTGTGCATTCATACTGTACTTGTTTTTATTTCTATTTCACTGATGTTACTCAGCTTAAGTGCCATTGACAGAAAGCCAGAATATGCATATTTATTTAATTAACAAATAAATGCTTACTACAGTTTTCTGTACTTCCATTTGTTTCATCTATATCACTTACACTAGTCAAAATAAATGCATATGGAAAAACATAATTAATAATAGTATTAACCAAGGAGAAAAATGTGATTTAATGCTGCCATGTGTTTAGGACTGTGTTTGATTTCAAAGCATAACTCGCTTACCCATCCCTTGACATTCATTTGTATCTGTAAACCTTGCAGCATCATACTCCACAAGCACAATGCAGCCATGTTAAATATCCTTAACTCCCGTTGTTTTCAGCGTGTATTTTGAAATACAAATAAACCTGCTGACGGGTGTTTTTGGGGAACACACACACACACAGAGAGAGAGAGAGAGAGAGAGAGAGAGAGAGTCCCTCTTGCTTCTGCTGGACCTCTTAGTAGCTTTCCATGCAACTAACGATGCTATCCTTCTGGTCCGTCTTTCTGGGATGGGACTTGGGGACACTGTTTTATGGTGGCTCTGCTCCTTCTTGGAGGGCAGCACTCAGAAGGTGGTGCTGGGGGGGGGACTCCTGTTCAACACTCTGGCTGTTGGCCTGTGGACCCCCCAGGGTTTTTGTTGTCCCTATCTTCAAAAAGCACAAAAAGGAGGAACCTGGGAACTACAGACCAGTCAGACTGATATCAATCCCAGGGAAAATTCTAGAACAGATTATGAAGCAGTCACTTTGCAAGTACTTAGAAAACAATGCAGTAATAACTAGAAGCCAACACAGATATGTCAAGGTAACCTCTCTCTTTGACTAATCTGATCTCATTTTTTGATCAGGTAACCTCTCTGGACAGAACAACTGTCAGGTGGATACACAGTTGGCTACAGAGTCATACTCAGAGGGTGACGATTAATGGCTCCTTCTCCAACTGGGAGGAGGTAACAAGTGGGGTCCCCCAGGGGTCAGTTCTGGGCCTTGTGCTCTTCAACATTTGTATTAATGATCTGGATCAGGGGGGCACAGGGAATGCTCATCAAATTTGCAGATGACACAAAATTGGATAGCTAATACTCTGTAGGACAGAAACCAAATTCAAAATTATCTAGATAGTCTTTAGCACTGGGCTGAAAACAACAGAATGAAATTTAACAGGGATAAGTGCAAAGTACTGCATCTTGGAAAAAGAAACAAAACACACAATTACAAGATGGGTGATACCTGGCTCAGCAATACTACGAGTGAGAAGGATTTTGGAATCATTGTAGATTAGAAGCTGAATATGAGCCAATAGTGTAATGTGGCTACAAGAAAGGCAAACACTATTTTCAACTTTAACAGAAAAATAGTCTTTAAATCCTGCAAGGTACTGGTCCCCCTCTAAAGAAAGGCAAACATTATTTTCAACTTTAACAGAAAAATAGTCTCTAAATCCTGCAAGGTACTGGTCCCCCTCTATTCAGCACTGGTTGGGCCTCATCTTGAGTACTGTGTTCAGTTCTGAACATCGCACTTCAAGAAGAAAGTTGACAAACTGGAACAAGTTCAGAGGAGGGCAACAAGGATGATAAGGGCCTAGAAACCAAGCTCTGTGAGGGAAGACAGAAATAACTTGGCATGCTTAGCCTTGAAAAAAGAAGACTGAGAAGAGATATGATACCACTTTTCAAGTACTTGAAAGGCAGTCATACAGAGGGGCAAGATCTGTTCTCAAATATTCCAGACTGCAGGACACGGAACAATGGGTTCCAGTTACAGGAAGCCAGATTTTGGTTGTATTCCAGAGTGCAGGACACGGAACAATGGGTTCAAGTTACAGGAAGCCAGATTTTGGTTGAATATCAGGAAAACTTCTTAACTGTCAGAGCAGTACAGCAATGGAATCAATTACCTTGAGAGGTGTTGAATGCTTCTACACGGGAGGCATTCAAGGGAAATTTAGACCAACTGGCAGATATCCTTTGATTTGTATTCCTGTATTAAGCAGAGGGTTGGACTCGATGGTCTTATAGGCCCTTTCAACTTCATTATTCTATGATTCTAGGGTTCAGTTTTGTCCCTTACCTGATAATATCTACATGAAACCACTAGGAGAGATTGTCTGGAGTTTGGGGATTAGATGTCACAAGTGTGTGGATGACACCCAACTGTGTTTCTCCGTACCATCTAAATCCCAATAAGTTGTTTCAGCTCAAGATCAGTGTCTAGTGTGAGTAATAGACTGGGTGGGGGTGAATAAACTGAAACTTAATTCAGACAAGACAGAGGTACTTCTGGCCATTCAAAAGGCAAAGGAGGAAATAGGGATGCAGCCTGTGGTGGCTGGGTTACACTTCCTCTGAAAACAAAGGTACACAGTTCAAAAGGAAATAGGGATGCAGCCTGTGCTGGCTGGGTTACATTTCCTCTGAAAACAAAGGTACACAGGTGCAAAACATGTGAGTTCTCCTTGGTTTATCTCTGAGCCTGATTTTGCGATCGCAAAATGATGTTTTAATGGGGGTTTTTCGCTTTGCGACGATCGGTTCCCTGCTTCGGGAACCGATTCTTCGCATTACGACGATCAAAACAGCTGATTATTGAGTTTTCAGAATGGCTGGCGGCTGCTCAAAATGGCTCCCCGCTGTTTTTAGGAGGCATTTTTCGCAAGACAGGCATCCAAAAATGGCCGCCGTATGGAGGATCTTCGCTGGACGAACAGGTATTCAGCCCACTGGAACGCACTGAACGGTTTTCAATGCGTTTCAATGGCTTTTTTCGCTTTACAACATTTTCGCTCTACAGCAATTTCGCTGGAATGAATTAATGTCGTCAAGCGAGGCACCACTGTACATAGGTTTTGTCAGTGGCCAGGAGTACTTTTGCAGAATTGAAACAAATGTGCTTCTTGTGACTGTTCCTGGGGAGGTCTGATTTGGCTAAACAGCTTGGGTCAACACAATCTCAAATACTGCATCTCCCTTTATGAGCCTGCTGGGTGTTAAGATCATCAGGGGAGGCCCTTCTCTTGGTCCCACTACTCTCACAGATGCGGTTGGTAGGGATATGGGATTAAGGGTGGGGGGAGAACAGCAAACATAAGCCAAGCCTAATCAAGAACCACAGCTATCATTACACTGAATGTGCAGCAGGACCACATGGAATAAGAGCGGCTACAGCTAGAAGCAGGATACCATCAGAAAATGGCAAAGACAACAATCTCTAGTGGTGTGTGAACCTGGAGGAGAGGGGGAAGGTTAGTTCACTTGACCATTTAAAACTGAAATAGGGCATTCTAGAAGAATTCCTGACTCCCTGCAGGAAACATGTCTTGCTGTTTTACCAGCAACACACCAAACTTTTTCAGTTACATTTTAATTAACTGAGGCTTTAGCTTAGAATTGTCCTTTGTGCCATTTCCAAAGCAGCTACATTAGTCCATCTAACAATTTTAAAAAATTCTTTAAAATGCCATAGCACCTCCAGTGATCCCCAGTTGAAAGCTTGTATTAATGCAATTTAGAAAAGATAACCTGTTTATGCACTAGGTACAGTATGATAGGCGAGAGGCCACACTGAGCCATACATTTCTATCCTTCATATCACCCTCTCTAGCTCTTGTTAGATAATTCCTCTTCAGACTCCACTTACACAAAATACAAGTACATACAACCAGCTCTGTTCCTCTGACCCACTGATCTCACCCAAAAATGTACAATAAATGCAGAAAACACTACATTCCTGAGACTGCGGGAACCAAAAAACAGAAACTTTGGCAATGCTCCTCTTCTGCTTGCCACGGGAACAGTCCCAACTCCTGAGTTGCCAATAATATTAAGAGAGTCTGGTGCAAGATGTGCCAATTATACAAGAGTATTCTTATAACCCAAGGCCCTTTGTGCATCCTGCTTTATCATTGACAGTAAACTGCTCATTAGCAACAACAAAACTATTTTGATGATGCCCCTGCAGCTAAAGGGAGCACCTCACTCCCACTGAAGCACTGGCATTTTGTGTGCAGACATAAAAATACTTCAGGATGATTATGATGAGCATCGTGCAAGTCTTTCAAACATAAACAGCAGTTTTTAAAATTGATATTGTGTTGAGAATATCTGCCAGAAAATAGTCTGAAGTAATCAGCAAGCCTCATCCTATGCATCGCAACATGACTGAGTTCAATGGGAGTTATTGCACAGCAGTAGCGCATACAACTGCACCTGTGAAGCACACTGTTAAGTACAGTATGTGTTTATGACTGTAGCTTTAATTTCACAACATATCCACAAGTGCAGCTTAAGAACTAGTGGTTAAATCCTAGAGATGGGCACAAACTGCCCAGCTGGCAGTTCGTGCTGGTTCGTTTAGTGGCTGAACAGGTTTTCTATGGTTCAGCACCCCATCCCCTCCAGCAGGTGCCCACTCAGAGGGAGCAGCCTGGCTTCCCTGTCCTGCCTCCTCCAGGTGCTGCCTCTGACTGTGTGCCTGCCAGAGGAAGTGGGGCTTTGAAGTGCCAAACCCTTGTTTGGCCACTAAACAAACTAGCATGAACCACTCATCTCTGAATCCAATTGCAAGCCTCAACTAGAATACAGACCTACTGAGTCAACAGGATTTACATTAATGTTGCGTTGAGGAATCATATGATGCAATGGGTCTTCTCTTTTTGGGGCTGTCAATTGGATTAGCCCTAGGAAGATGTTGGCTCCCTTCCTCTTATCTGTGAACACCTTACCAAGGGAGCTGGGGATTTCTGTCAATAGGTTCCCGGAGAGGTCCAGCTCTGTGCAATTCTGAAGGTTGCCAATCTCTTCAGGAAGTGACTGCAGTGCATTTTCTGAGAGGTCCAGTGTTTGTAGTTCAGCCAGTTCCCCAATGCTTTGTGGAAGATTTCTGAGCTGGTTTTTCATGGCAGAAAAGAAAGTCAGCTTGGTGAGCTGGCCAAAGTCTTCTGGCAGCCCCTGCAAGCTGTTGTGGCCCACGAAGAGGCTCCTGAGATTGGTTAGCCTGGTAATGCAGGGAGGCAAAGCAGCGAAGCTGTTGAAGCTGAGATCCAGGTGGGCAAGGCAGGTTAATGTCTCGAACTCTTGTGGCAAAGATGCCAGCAATCCTCTCCGACAAGCACCGGCTTCATCTCTGAGGTGTCCACCTGCAAACAGAGAAAATGCAGCCAGTGGGAAAAAAGAGATTCATATTACAAGAATCTGTGATAGTTCAAACAAGATGTGTTTACTATTCAACAGTGCAGCAGACCAAATAGTCTTTCTTGGAAAGAAGAGGAGCTAAAAGGATTTGTTGCATCAGGGCACTTATATGTATCCATTAGGAAAAAATTGGATTTCAAGAGATTACCCCTTTGATAAGTGCAATATGATAAATGCATGGTCCAAAGTAAGTTCCATTGACTGAATTGGAAATTAGTAAGTAGGCTCAGGATTAGGATCTTAAGTATATATTGCTATGGCAGGCAGAGGGGAGTCCTTCCACAGAGGAAGGCAAACACATGTAGATTCTATAAGGTTTCCTCTACCCTGCTTTGAAAAACAAGCCTTTAAAATTCAACAATTACAGAATGCACCTCATGCCCAATAGAGGGCAGGATGAAGAAGAAAGCATGTTTCCAGGAAGGGGTATTTTTCTTCTTCTCCAGCAATCCAGAAATTATTACATACAGAACTCAGGGCAAAAATATATCCAAACACATTTGAAATTATGCAGAAGGATGGGAGAGAATTCGTAGAATTAAAATCATTGAGTCAAGCTAAACATAATGATTTGGAGGCAGGAGCAGATGGGGAACTGCCTGCACTTGCTAAGGATGCCAGACCCAAATACTGTATGAGCCTTGCTCCATTGCCAACAATGGCAAGTGCTTTTTGCATAATTATGCTGTAAATGTGCCTTGCTCCATTGCCAGCAATGCCAAGTGCTTTTTGCATAATTATGCTGTAAATGACCCTAACGTGCTCCTGCACAATGGGGTGGTATGTAAGTCAAAACATGTGCTCCTGCACAATGGGGTGGTACATAAGTCAAAACAACAACATCAGAGAACTCTCTCTTCTTAGTCACAATTGAAACAAAGGTCAATTCAAAGCCAATTGCAAGAGGAGATCCAGCAGGAAAATCTGGCCTCTGCTCAGCGGAGGAGACGGAAAGACGCCAAGACTTATGTGTACCCACTTGGGATTCAGTCCAACTGAGAACAGTGGACTGACCTCTGAGTAAACATGCATGGATCTACTCTTCAAGAAAGGCACAGAGGGCTGCATCCATGCAGCCCCTCTTTGGCACACCTCCTAAGAAGGAAATCCTGCTAAAGTCAAATACTAAGCAAGCATGTATAGGTTCAAAACTTAGGGCTGTAATCATAGGACAAACAATCCTGGGAGTAAAACCATTAAAAATTGTGGGAATTATTTCTAAGCAAACATGCGCAAGATGGGCATTTTAAGTCTGTTCTGCATCTTTCTGAAAACACATGTGACTCCAGGACCAAAAAACACACACAAAGCACTTAGAACAAAGCAACAACGGTTGAAGAAGTTACCTTTGAGTACGAGGGATTTCAGACACTTCAGGGCAGAAATGGTGCCCAATGTGGAAGCAATAAGGTTCTCATTGCAGTTCAGCCTCAAGAATTCCACCTGCGCTACTTCTTCCCTCCGTGTCTCAAACAGCTCAAGGAACTGGCGACAGCCTTCAGGGTAGACGTCTAAGTTGAGTCTGTTGCCAGCCAGGCAGGAGCTAGCAGGTGCCTCGGCCCCCAAAGTGCCCTCCCCCAGAGAGTCCCCAAGCTCCCGTCGCCCTGCCATCTTCTGGTGTTACATTGCTGTTGGCTGTTCATGTTCTGACTTGCCAGCCAAACAAGCGCTGGGGGTGCCACAAATAATTAAAATGAGCTATGGAGGAGAGTGACAGCTTCTGGAAAAAGAAGGGGGAAAAAGGGGAAACATTTTAGAGTTCCACACCTACAGCATTCATATGCATAGAGAAAACAACACAGGCTGTACCTGAGATGGTAAAAGGCATTACAGATAAATACATGGATAAATAAATAAATAAATACTAGAGTGTAACACATTCTTCTCACAGTACAATAAGGCAGGAGAATATAAGCATGGTATAACTATAAACGGTGGGTTGAAATATGAAATAACTTGTGAGTGGACTGGCTATATTTTAAGATCCCAAGCCCTTATTAAATACTAAATTCCCATAAGCAATAGTAGATCTCTTACGTAAAGAGCCCTCTTGTATTAATGGGTAGGACTCAGATCGTACCAGTCATGGAACCTTTCTGAGCGCGCAATATGGAATGAAATCTGGAGTCACTGGTTTGTAGTACCTTGTTCTTTCCTGGAGGGTTGAGTTCAGAAGACAGTGATAGGGAACTCCTTTTTCAGGACTATGGCCAGTGGTTTAGGGCAGCGGTCCCCAACCTTTTTGGGACTGCAGACTGGTTGGGGGTGCAGGCTCCGTGCGTAGGGGGGGCGGGGAGGCATCCCTGCGCTCATGGAGGGGTGTGCCGCGCTCACGTTCATGTGATATGCCCACCTGGGAGTGCAACACATACACACAGACCCGTGTGTGCGACACTCCCACTGTGTATGCATGCGGAGGGGCAGAGATCCCAGTTCCAGGAAGCCCACAAGCTGGCACCCGGCTGTGGACCAGGGGTTGGGGACCCCTGGTTTAGGGTGTCCCTCAGGGCTCCATCTCGTTTCCCATGCTTTGTAATACAGCATGGAACCACTGCACTTGTCTGAAGTCTCAAGTTTTTAGTTCTACTGTACTAGGATGTCGATGGCACTCAGCTCTATCTTTAGTTAAGACTAGCATGTACCGTAAGTTACACTCATTCCTGGAGATGTCTGATCTCGTCAAGGCAACATACATCTCTATTTAGATGTTTTGACTAATTCAGAATGCTGTCAGTTACAAGGAGCATTTGACTCCCCCTTGCTACAATAACTCCTTTGGCAAACAGTTTCTTTTTAGGTTCAATTCAAAGTCCTAGTTATGACTTATAAAGCCCTACATGACTTGGGAGTGGGCTATTTGAAGCACCATATTTTCTCATCTGAGTCTCCTAAAGTTTTACTTCATTTATTTACTTCAAATATATTTACCCTGCCTTTCTCCATAAAAAGGACCCAAGGCATCACTGAAGTGGTTAAACCGCTGTACTGCAGCTGAAACTGTGCTCACGACCTGGGGTTCAAACCCAGGTAGCCGGCTCAAGGTTGACTCAGCCTTCTATCCTTCCGAGGTCAGTAAAATGAATACCCAGCTCGCTGGGGGGGCAATGTGTGTGTGTGTGTGTGTTTAGTCGTTTAGTCGTGTCCGACTCTTCGTGACCCCATGGACCGGAGCACGCCAGGCCCTCCTGTCTTCTACTGCCTCCCGGAGTTGTGTCAGGTTCATGTTGGTTGCTTCGCAGACACTGTCCAGCCATCTCATCCTCGGTCGTCCCCTTCTCCTCTGTAGCTACTCATCCCCAAGAAGAGTGGAAGAGACTGAAGAGTTCAGCTGCAGCACATACACCGGTCAGTTTTGTGCAAGTTGGCCAAGAAAAGTCTCCGTTGATGTAGTGGTGAGAGAGCTGAACTGAGATTTGGGACATCTAGCTTCTACTCCCTACTTCACCCTAAAACTCACTGGGTGACTTCTGGTGACTTATACCTCACAGGGCTGTTGTGGTAAGAATAAAAGTGGAAAGGAACTAAACCTTTTCAGCTCAGTGGAGAAAGGCAAGGTATAAATATTACCACTAAATAATAAATGAATTAGAAGCAAATTCAACCAAGTTTCTGCCAAGCCATCAGAAGACTACAGCTCCAGTCCTACTCTATGCAACTCATCATTTTTCCTCACGAAGCATAACATGGTCTTATTATCATTAGGCAAAATGGCAAGCATAAAATGCATATAATATAAACACATTTTCAAAAGATGGCAATCTCACTTTGGCATACAGTAAGTGTTTGAAATATTTTAAAATCTCCCCTCTCACAGCTGCTGCACAGTTGACATTTTCTGCCCCTTTTTGCCACCTTATCATATTTTACAGTGTTTTTCTGGCATTATTTGCATCAAAGGAAGACATTTAATAGTTGCAATGACAGGAGCTCTACCTGCCAAATTTTCCCCTTACTGGATACAAAGGCATTTTTGAGACCCCTTCGAAAATATCGTCCTCACCTAGCAAAGGATTTCCTCAATGGATGAATGAACGCATTTGCCGGTTGCAAATTATAGCCCAATTTTAATGTATTGTATGCTCTAGAAAAAACTTGGTTCAGTGAGCTAGGTATCTGACTGCAGAGCCAGAGGCTGGGAGTTCAATTCCCCACTCTTCTTCTCTTCAAGGATAAGAACCAGCCCGAGTGGCCTTGGGAAAGTTGCACAATCCCAGGACACGCCCAGAAGAAGAGAATGGTAGACACGAGTACTGTTTATCTAGAAAACCCATAAGTAATAATGATGATGATGATAATGATGATGATATGATAGAATGGCAAAGTCAGTGCACTGGCCATTATGCACAAAATATACAAAACCCCGTGGGAACATCAGGTAGAGAAGGTGTCAGAAAATGAGGAAGTCAAGATCTTGTGGGATTTCCGGGTCCAAATGGATAGACACCTTGAACATAGCACACCAGACAAAGTAAGTAATAGAATGAAGAAATGTCCGGATCATTGACATTGAAATTCCAGGGGATGCCAGTGTTGAAAATAAAGAATTTGAAAACCTAACAAATTACAGAGACCTGGCAATCGAAACATCTCACCTCCGGAAGAAACATACTTCAGTGGTCCCTGTAGTCATTGGGGTGTTGGGAACAATATCAAGAAATTTCACCCAGTACTAGAAGCAACCGCAGATCTCAGAAATCACACCATCAGAGCTACAAAAAAAAAAAACCCCAACAATATTAGGAACAGCATACATACTGCACTGATATTTAACAGATATTTGGGTTTTTGGTTAGTAAAACTTGTATTTGATACCAGTCAGTGTTTTTATAATTTTGACTGTGTCTGGTGTTTTTGAATAATATTACAGAGAAGCCACAGCTACTTTTCCCCTGCAGAGAGATGAACAGTGTTGCTAGTAAGAACAATTCTGGGCAAAGCAGGTGTAATCCCTACTACTGTATCTTCATGTTTCTGCAATATTTTTGGGCCCTGCTTCAAATCCAAGAAAAATTCTGGGAAAATGAAGATGGCAGCAGCTGTTGTCACTTCAGCAAGCCCTTTCCCACGGCTAGGCCCTAAAGATGTTTTGGGTTTTTTAAAATGGAATTTAAATTGAATTTTTTAAAAATGAAAAACAAGAAAGGAAGATTATCATTAGTCTTGGTAAGGTGTTCACTGGCTCTGGCATTCACCCCACCATGCTTGGTGTTAATACTGAGCCTGCTTGTAATTCTGTAAAGTGAAGCACTTTGTATGGAATTTATCCTGATAATTATTTTTTAAGTTTTCTTTTTTACTTTTGGCCAAGCAACTGCATTTTACTTAATTAATTCATCTTGCATGTTTTCCACCAGAAGGGTCCTTTATTCTAACACAGACACACACAAACACACAATCTTCATAGCTCTCTGGCTATAACTGTCAAAGTCTAACAGTTGTATTGCAAGCAGAAATGAAGCAAGAAAGTAGTGTCCTTTCACTGGATCTCTGTGTCACTAACGCATAGCCACGTAACTTGAAAATCTGCTCTTAAAGAATTTATTGTCATATTAGTTACATTTTATCCTGCCTTCACTTCAAAGAGATCAAGGTGGCATATAGGATCTTCTTTACCTTCTCGGTTTATCCTCTTAGCAACCCTGCAAGGTAGGTCAGGTACTGATCTAAAGTCAACAACAGTTTAATTACTAAGTGGGTTTTGAACCTGGGTTTCTCAGTTCCCAGCTCTCCAACCCCTGCACATTACCAATGCTCTTGAACGAACTGTTCCAGTCTTGCTCTGCTTCCGATTATGCTCTGTAGACTGTTCTCTAGACATAGGTGAAGAATGTGCAATATTACTGGAGAGAATGTTTATTTTAGTGGGGACTGAGTTGCCCTTGCAATCAGAGTTGAAAAGAGCTCCCACCAACTCTTACAGTTATTTAAACAACAGTTCTCTGATAGGAACTGTAGCCCAAAGCAACCATATTCTGAGTTGCCCATCTTTTCGTAAAGAGGTGTATTGGTGGTAAGAAGTACTCAAGCGACTGTATTCAAAACTCTGGTTTCCACGGGTCTCCCAGCCATCACCCAGTTATAAAACTGGCTTCACCCCCAGCATGTGCTCCATCATTTGTCCTGAAGCAACCTGGACAACAGACAGCAGGACGCAAACACAGTGGAAATACAGAGTGAAGCCAAACTGGAAAATGAAGTCTTGGTTCCGGCTGTTTCGTGATGGAAAGTGCCTTAACTCCCCAAAACAACTATTGTAGTGCCACATTTATGGTAAAACAGCTGGAAAGTCTTTCCTCCTAACCCCGGGTGGATGGGGGTCGACTGTATAAAGAGAGAAAGGAAATCTCCCTGAACTCACAGACCCTTTCAGTGTTAAGTTCATATTTTCGACCCCTAGCGCTGGAAATCGGTTCACTGCGGCGCTGCAGCCTGATATTCTGCCCCCCCCCTGCAAGAACGCCTCCCATTAAGTTACAAATCAGACACGGAACTATCCCTTCCGACTACAAAGCTCACCCTAGACTACAGTACTCCCTCAACCCATGCCCCTTTGGACACAAGACGATCCTTACCCACGCTGGCGGGACCTACTCTCTCCTCTCTGTTGCTCTAGTGTCACTCCGATTCTTACCACACTTCCTGGAAAGCACGTGTTGGAATTTCAGCTCAAGGAAGGGTGCTGAGGCTCGCAGCTTCACGGTCTCCTGACTAAATGTCTCCTACTCGCGCACTGCCGCCGAGAAACACCAAATCCCCTCCGGGAAGCGCCTCTCGTTTAGATACGGCTCCTCCCCGCTCCCGGGTTCCCTTCCTTCCTTCCTTCCTTCCTCCTCGGCACGCCGAGGGTTGCGCGCTTTTGGCGGGGAGAGGAAGCGGCCGTTTTCGTTTGTCCAGAACCAGCTAGGAAACTACATCCGTTGCGACTTGCGGATCTGTCAGGTTTCAGCGTGCCGCGCCTGAGCCTTGCGTCGCCGCTTTTTTTTTTAAACGGCATGTGGGCTTATTTTGCTGATGTCATGTGTAAAAGGGAGGGGGTTCTTGTATCTGTCAGATCACCCGGGACCCTATTTCTGCTAAACCTTACGCATTCCCTGCCTTCGTCAAAACCAACCAGAAGCCCCATTACGACCTGTCAAGTTGATCTTAACTAAATAATGTGGTGCCTCGAAACTTTCAACCAAAATCTGAAAAATGCCACCTCAGAGACGTGTTGTTTAAATAACTAAGGTTTTTAGCTGCCACTTACCAGATGCCATCAATACAAACACACATTCGCTCTGGGCTTTAATGTCAATTTGAGTACTGTACAGTACAGTATTAAGGAAAAGCATATCATGCGTTCATATATAGACAATAGCAAGTAGAGGCTGCAACAGTGTCTCTTTCTCCTCTGCTGTGCCTGTTCGGGGTGTAGCCTGCCAGTTATGGACTCCAACTCCCTGCAGCTTCAGTCACTAGACTCAGTGATCAGAGTGACTAGAACAACAGTCCCAAAACATCTGGAACACACTATGCTGGTGAAGGCCGCATGTTGTAGGTGGCTCAGGCAAGCTCATTCACCATTAAGGTGCATGTGTGTGCACACGCACACACACACAGAGATATTCTCTCCTCCAAACACACTTTCACATTTTTCTGCTGAAAAAGCTGTCCTTGGATACCACAATACTAGATAATTCCTGGCCAGTCTATAATATCCCATTCTTGGGCAAGGTGCTGGAGTGGACTGTGGCTTCTCTGCTCTGGTTTCCTGAATGAGATGGACTGTCAAGATCCATTTCTGTCCGGCTTCTAACCTGGTAATGAAATGGAGATTGCTTGGGTTGCATAGGTAGATGAACTATGCCGGGAATTGGACAGGGGGAGTATGTCTCTGTTGGTTCTTCAGAGGCATTCTATACTATTGACCATGGCATCTTTCTTGCCCATCTCTTGAACCTTTCAGAAGCATTCTATACCATTGACCATGGCATCTTTCTTGCCCATCTCTCTGGGATGGGATTTGGGGGCACTGTTTTATGGTGGCTCCAGCCCTTCTAGAAAGGACAAACTCAGAAAGTGGTGCTGGGGGACTCATGTTCAACACCTTGGTCTTTGACCTGTGGTGTTCCTCAGGGATCTGGTGGTGTTCCACAGGGATCTGTTTTGTCCCCAATGCTATTTAATATCTACATGAAACCACTGGGAGAGATTGTCCAGAGTTTTGGGGTTTAGCATGCTGATGACACCCAGCTCTATCTCTTCTTACCATCTAAATCCAAGGGAGCTGTCTCAATTCTATATCAGTGTCTCGTGTCAGTAATGAACTAGATGAGGGTGAATAAACTGAGACTTAATCCAGAAAAGACAGAGGTGTTCCTGGTCATTTGAAAGGCAAAACAGGAAGTAGGGAGTTAGCCTGTGCTCAGTGGGTTACACACTCTCTGAAAACATTGGTGAGCAGCTTGAGGGTTTTTAATATCGTATTTGTTTAATTTAAAAACATATTTCTATGCTGATTTTTAGCTTTTGAATATGGTTTTTAAATTATGGAAGCCAGATTGCCTCCTTTTTAAGGAGAAAGGCAAGGTAAAAATATTTTAAATAAAAATAAAATAAATATATCATCTACAGTGACCCATGACTTAGTTACATCCCCCTTGGATTCATATAATGTTCCATGTATGACTGCCTATGATGACAGTTCAGAAACTTGAGATAGTTCAAAATGAAACAGTCAGACTGTGGACTGGAGTCAATGATAGGAGCACATAAGGCCTCTGCTGCAACTACACTGGCTACCAATCAGTTTCTGGACCAAGTTTAAAATGCTGGTTATAGGATTTGGGTCCAGACTATCTGAAGGATTGTATTTCTGCATACTAACCCAATCCTTATCATCAGAAGAGGCCCTCCTCTCGGTTCAATTGCCTTTATGGCATCACAGGCATGTTTGAGGGCCTTCTCTGTGGCTCTTCCCAAGCTGTGGAATATCCTCTTTCCAGGTGTTAGGTTGGCCCCTTCCCTTCTATCCTTCCACTGACATAATAATCATAACTGTGTCCCTGAATGCTGTTTGCTAGCCGAGCTTGTTTTTTAAATTTTAAATATTTTAATCATTAAATGTATTTTAACTATAAATTAGAGTTCAATTATTTTAATGTCTAATTTACTGTATTGTTTTACATTTTTTTAACACTGAGAGTTGCCTTGAGTCCCCTCATGAGGAGAAAGGTGGCCTATAAATGAGACAAGCAAAAAATAAATATTACAGTTGAACAATAAAACAAAGTAAAAACTCATTCTAATTTCTATTTCCCTTTCCCTGTATGCTCGCTCGAAAAAAAAAAACTTATTTGGTCGCTCTGCAGAACTCTATGATGCAGGAGGGCGCTCTAGGTTTCTCCCGTACCATAGACAGCCACCTTGGGACCCCAAAGGCGGGAAACGCAGATAGACCCTAACTCGTACAGTCTAGAAGCAGACGTTCTGCAGAAGCATTCCTATTGGTAATGCTAGCTATGCGAATTCTGATTGGTCATAACTTGTACCCAATAGGGAGTTCGGTTATTGGGGAGTGTTAGGAAGAACATCGCGAAGGAGGCTCCGCCTTTTCCTTTTGGACCGTCGCCGTCGTGGAGAGCGCACGTCTCCATCTTTAGGCCTCCCTTCGAAGAACGCTTAAAGTAAGTGGGTTTTTTGAGGCTCCCCCTTTTCGTTGTAATGGATGGGCCCAGAAGGTGCATCTGGTATCCCCTTCTCCCGCTGCACAAATACGTGGTCCCGAAAACGAGCCGGCGACACCATGTGGGGCGAGGAGGGGGGGGGAACGACGACAGGGCGGACATGTGCTTCCTGATTCCCTTTGGAGGCGGCCTCGTTGGGCGATGGAGGCTCCAGAGGCCCGAGAGTCCGCGCGGAAAGACAGAGAAGGGAGTATATTATAGCTCAGGAAGTGTGACAAAGAAAGAGAGAGAGAGTTCTCTTACTCTAAAATAAACCGGGCCAAATCGAGGCGGTCGAGAGTGTTACCCGCTTCTAGCTTTGTACTGTATATAAAAAGTCAGTTTTTTAAGAAGGTGGGAAGAAGATATTACTGGGGAAAGATCTGTAGTACCATGGAGCCATGGTCCTTTGCTACAATGCCTGATACTGATTGGAGATTCCTCGTGTGAAATAGTTGAGGTTAGTTCTTCAATATAAGTATGCCCCAAACGGTCTATATTCCACTGAAAATGGAGGCAGTATCATCAGTCTTAAAATTACTTGGCCTGGCCTGTGATATCTGTCAGATGGTTTTGCTGTACAACAGTACTGTACATTTAAAAAAAAACCTTGACTTCCTTTTTTCAGGATGCGTTACGTTGCAGCTTACCTTCTTGCTGTCCTTGGGGGCAACGAGTCCCCAAGCTCAAAAGATCTGAAGAAAATCCTTGACAGCGTAGGCATTGAGACGGATTATGAACGTGTGAACAAGGTGAGCAATTAGAGAAATCTCTAAGGTGACACAAGCTGTTATTCTTTGACTTAGCTAAAAAATAACTTCGTTCAGTGGCGAGAATGTTAAACGCTCTAGAGTTCCTCATTAGCGCAAGAAAAGCAACTGGAATATTTTTAATAGACATATTCATCTAAATATATGTCTAAAATGGAACACTTTTAGTAGGATGTTGGTAGCTGCTTCACAAGTGAACCATTTTCTGTGGATGTCATAACCATTTCAAGCCATTCTGTTGGGGATTAATGCTGAATGTCCAAAAATAAGGTAATTTTGTTATAATGCTATGTGTTCTGTAGCAGCTGTTTGTCTAGCAACTTTTCCCCCCTGTAACAATGCATTTTTACTTATGAATACACTGTTCTGATTCTAATCTGTTTGGGTTGAATGGGCCTGTTTTACTCAAGTAACTAGCTTTGGGTACTCTGGTGTAGTGGAGGGAGTGATAGGTCATACAAGGTAGAACTAGTAAAACTACTTCATACATTTCTTGCTTACCTTGAAAGTCCTATTATGGTCACTATATGTCAGTTCTGACTTGACAGCACATAACTAACAATAGCATTGGAAAAGAGATTTTATTTGAATCTGGTTGAAATCAATAGGATTTAAATTAGCTCATTTTTTTACATTGCTTCAGTAGGCTAATCCGTTATTAATTAAATCTGGAGCCAAACCAACACTTTGGAGAGTGGTTATTTGATACAAAGATATCGTAGTGTCACTTTTTAAAAATGAATTTATTTTATGTCACAGTAACACTGTTGCTTCCAATTGGACACTATCAATATGGTATATCCCCCCTTTAAAAACAATATTTTATATTATACCAACTTTACCCATGTGCCAAACTGCAGCTAGTTTCGCTAAAACATAAATACATACAGTCAAGTGAGCAAAAAGTAAAATTATTGCTTCTAGATATTTAGAAAACCTGGAGAACTGCCCATATATGCCACAGTTAATTTAATTGTCATTCTCCAGGGGCAAGTAAATGCTTAAAATTGGCTCTAACTGTTTCATGAGTGAAGTGTAGTTGTCTCAAAACAATATAACACTCAGTTGCTTTTGGATAGCAGCTCAGTGTGGCATTTCTGCAGCTTTGGTTGTCTCCAAGACTTAATTCCAACAAGAGAGAAGGAAAAGAAGAAGTTGCTGACCCTGTATCTTTCAGGTCTAATAGGAGAAATTAAACAGAATTTGTACATTGTTAAATGAAATACCAGATAAACATGGAAGAACCTTTTTGCGGTCTTAACCCAAATCGGCTTAAACTATATTGGCTAAGGGGGCGAACCAAAAGTGAATGAACAGCGTTTTGCCTAATGGAAAGAAATCAGCTCTTTGTAGCAGTGGTTAGTTTAAAATAGGAGTCAAAACATTTTCTTTCTTTTTTTTACTTACTACCAGATTTTCCAGTAAGATTAGTTGCTTTTTAAGGCATGTTGAACAAATTGAGTTCTAGAGTTTAGGGGCTTTGTGCCTTTACTTTGTGTTCAGATAGCTGTTAGTAAAGCATTGCTGTTGTCATCCACAAAGAAAAGACACATGTCACCACACTTCTGTAAACACACCCACCCACACACCCTTTTACCCTCATGCTCATTTTTTTGGAGGGAAAATGTGGTTCGTTCTTCAACCAGCAGTTTTGCAATTCAGTGTGTCTTAATCCTCATATTAGTGGAGATGTGGTGGCTGCAGGTTAAACTGCAGATGTCTCTGCGTCAAGGTCAGAAGACCAGCAGTCGTAAGATCGAATCCACATGACAGAGTGATCTGTCGCTTGTCCCAGCTCCTGCCAATGAAAGCGTGTAAAAATGCAAGTAGATAAATAGGTACCACCATGGTGGGAAGGTAATGATGTTCCGTGTCTAGTCGCACTGGCCACGTGACCATGGAAACTGTCTATGGACAGACGCTGGCTCTATGGCTTGGAAACGGGGATGAGCACTGTCCCCTAGAGCTGGACATGACTGGACAAATTGTCAAGGGGAAACTTTACCTAACTCTCATATTGACTCCAATGAGCATTTTAGTGTATTGTGGGTTATGGAAATGCTCGTGTCCAAAAGAATATTTGCATGCAGGTTTTAACCTGTTCCACACAAATGTCAAGAGCCAGAAAAGCCAGGATCAAATAAAAGTAGTTAAAATGAAGCATACACTTTCTGTACAATGAGTTATTTCCTGCCCCTGTGAATTTCAGCCCCCCTCTGAATAAATTCCAGTTGCTTCTACATGGGGTGATCCTAATTCAAAACCAGAACAAATAACACATTTCCCCAAATCATGGTTTGCAAAATAAAAAGGGCCTCCCCCCCAGTTTGTTACAATGGCAAAAATCAGTAATTAATAGGGTCATTTTTGTTAGTCATTTTTGGGTTATGGGGGAGAAATCTGTACTTACCAGGTAGCTTAAAATGGAGGACAGTATTTGCAGCCATGCAGGGGATAATACCATACAGTGATCTATTTTTGTACACATCTGCAAGACAGATGTGTACTTGAGTACCCCTTGTAGCGTATGATAACAAAGAACAGATAGTATGTTTTAGGGATGGTGTAGTTGCAAGTGTTCTGAATCTCTGTTAAATTATTGCCAAATTGATAATTTAGATAAATAAATGTCAGGGGAGGGGGATGATGATGATGATAAAACAACTGCAGAGCTGGAAGGGATCCTACAGATCATCAAGTCCAGCCCTTATCAATTATACACCATGGGGAATTGAACTTCCAGCCTCTGGCTCCACAGCCAGGTAGTTCAGTTGCTTCCAATTCTTTGTGGGACACTAGAGTAATGGTTTAAATTATTGTTAAGCTGTTTGTGCCCTATGACATGGCAATCTGTGTTTCAGATATACCTTCTCTTTTCATTTAGCTTTTAGTGATCTCTTACGGTACAACCACCTGGAGCTTTTCCTCTCATCTTTATAAAGTAGCAGTAGCTTCTTGGTTTTTGTTTGTTTGTTTTTAATCTGGGAAGAAGCAATGCTGTATGTCAAAATATACCCTGTTTCCCTGAAAATAAGCCCAATATGATTTTTCAGGATGCTGTAATATAAGCCCTACCCCAAAAATAAGCCCCAGTTAAGCGAAACCCCACCCTCCAACACTGTGCAGCAACCGGAAGAAGATGACACAACTGTATTTGAATACACATAGTTTGTTGTATATGAAAAAATAAAGCATCCCCTGAAAATAAGCCATAATGTGTTTTTTGGAGCAAAAATTAATACAAGACCCTGTCATATTTTCAGGGAAACACGGTAAATATATTGTCCAGTAAATGACAAACAAGACCCTGCCTAGGTAGCCAATGATAACATAAGCAGGCTTGCTTTGCAAGGTTACTGTTTACTGCATATTTTGTGGGAGACTGAATCTGTACTGAGAAAATAAGAAAAGTGAATTTGAATCCGCAAGCCTTCTTTTATGACAGTTATTCCCTCCCCTTTTCCCATTTTATATTTCTTTTTAAAAATGGGATGTGAAGCTTCCCATCCTTTAGATCCCTGTGTTGAGAGAAGATCATTTAAGTAATGCTATCCATTTGTTTCCACAGGTTATTAGTGAACTGAATGGAAAAAACATTGAAGATGTCATTGCCCAAGGTGAGTTAAATACGAAGAGTGGGTTTAGAAGTGATCATAGTGATTTCCTTTTCAACAGTGAAATTTTCTTCCATGTCTGTAGATAATGTAAATATGTAACGTGTAACACATCAGAGCAAAGTGTAGGTTCAGTATTCCAAAGAAGCCAGTGAAGAGCAAAGTGAGTAATTGGACGGTGCTGTCATGCTATACTTGCTGTGATATATGCTGTACTTGCTGTGATATAGCTTATGGTATATTCTGTAGTGGTTACCTGAGCTGAAATCCAGATCTGTAAATCATTCTGTGACATAGTGTTCTTAGGTGAAATGATAAAGTGACTAAACTACAGCTTTATCAATAAATATGTGTTGTACTGGTGGACAGTACTGTGGTAGGTAATGGGTGAGTGAGTCCATCCTAATTCCCACAGGGGCATGTTGGTACCTGCTGGGTTTCGCTGATGGACCACATTAATATTGGGAAACCCTCTTAAAAACAGTCACTTGCTGTCTGTTCATATAGAGGATGTTCTCAACAATTGTTGAAAAAGAATCAGCTTTGTTTTTTCAAAAGTAAACAAATGCTCAATTATTGAAGAATTTACTGCATAGATCTTTTACCTCTTCCTGCCTTTTTTGATATATAGCTACTCAAATTTTAAACTCTACTGAAGCCTTGCTTCTACTGCTGGCATCTTATTGTTTTCCACTTTCATCTACAAAGTTGTCTATCACGGCAGATCAAGGAATAGGATTCAGGTGTAAATGGTTTATTCTTCTGCTAAAAAAAACCTCAGGTTCTCTTGGATGAGTCCAGATGTCCAGGTTTTGGCAATGCTGGAAGGGTGTTTCGACAATTAAAGGTAGCATATCAGTTGTTCCTGGTCTTGGAAATACCAGAGATGGCTATGGTGACACCCTGTTGGATTGCACTCTAAATGGGACTACTTTTGATTGAAGAGTTTAGAAACTTCAGGCGATCTAAAATACTCCAATGAAATTGTTGACCAGGCCCAGTTACAAAGAGTGTATATCTTCCCTTTGTGTCAGGCCCCCTGGCTGCCAGCCCATTTCAAGGGCCAATTGAAAGTGCAGCTACTGTTGTATACTTGTAGAGGCCAAGCTATTTGAAGGATTGATTCTGTATTCCCTTGTGAGCCTCTCTGGTCGTAATATTTTTAAGAGAGGCCCTTCTCTTGTTCTCATCACCCTTGCAGAAATAATTTGGAAAGGGCCTTTTCAGTGTCTGCTCCCAAGCTGTGAAATTCCATTCCACAGGAAGTTAGGCTAGCCCCATCTCTCTTTTCCTTATGCCAGGAGACAAAGAAACTTGGTCGTTCTCTCCATTGAAGCTTTTTTGATCACTGATTTGGCTGCAGAGAAAATTTTCAACAGGAGATAATGTGCTTTTGTTTTCTTCAAAACTTTTTTATTCAGATGGGCATTTTTAAAAATTGTTTTATAATGTGGTGTTGGAACTGATTTTAGTCCTCTCTGCCTACAGATGATCTGCCCACTTCACTGACATCACTCATTCTCTTGATGCCTCTATATGTAGAGATATATTTTCCCTGAATAGTTGTACAGTGGTATCGCATCTTTTCCTGGAAACTCCTTAATAACCCCATCATTCTTATCTCCAGTTAAAGCTGAAATGTATGTTTCTGTATTTGCTCCCATTTAATTCTTTACAATCTGTTTTTCCTTTCTGGTTTTATCATGCAACTTCAGATTGGAATTCAGCAGGAGATTTTCTTACACTGTAAGGTGTGGTGGCTGAAATGTAGCCCATCAACCCCCCCCCCAAACCCAACAAAATCCATCTCATATACAAATAGCCAATTACACCCTGAACCTCTAGTTACCTACACCTATATAAAATGCCATGTAAATTGATGGTACTAAACAAATAATAAGAGTAAAAGTAAAGTCCTTGTTATTGATAGTGTTGATAGAGCTAGGATTCTTTGCAGGGGGATTGATGCAGCAAATGAAAAGGGCTGGATCATATTTAATGGGACGTTGTGTACTAGTTAAATAAATGTTTCATTCTGTCTAAATGGCTGTTTGGTTCTGGCTATCAAATATAGTGTTTCTCAGAATATGCTGAATTGGGTATAAAAATGTTTGCCTTTGGCCTCAGGAGCACCATGGGATTATTTAACTCTGTATTCCTAGAAACAAAGAACAGACTTTTTGCCCCCAATGACGTGCTTAGAAAGCCAAGGGATCTCTCAGCTCGCAAGGGAAATTATATATTGCCAGTTTCTCTGGAACTGTTTGCTTTCACCAGAAGCAAGTCTTAAATCTCCAAGGCCCATCCATCATAGGAGTCTGCAGTTGCACAGTAGTTCTTGTCACAGTTCTGATTTTAACCTTATGTTGCTAATGGAAACAGATCAAGTCTCACCCCCTGCAGGAGGAGTAGGCCCCACAGATTTGACAAACCTGATTTAACGTTGACAAAATATTGAGATGCCTTTTTCTGGTCTCCAGTATATTGGTGGTCTATATAAGTTGCTTTTTGGAGCTTGAACCAAAAGCAAACTAGTGGTGTAACTGTACTGGTGAACTAATATATTTAAAATACTAGAGGACAGGAGTTTGGGGCCCTTATTATGAGGCCGATCAACCCCCCCCCCCATTTAGAATGCCTAAGTTGTCAAAGTACCAATCAGAGTTCATTCTTTTCCCACTGCCCTGCTGAGAAATGGATGGGGCAGAGAGGGAAGGATGGATATAAAATAAGTGTAGAAAGGAGCAAGGGATGTAAGAGCAAGGCAGAGCCCCTGTACACCCAACTCAGGGAATCTAGTAGTCAGGGTGGGATTTATTATCACTGAATGCCTTAATCTGATGTCTCTCTTATTGGCAAGGCTTATTTTACATACAGCGCTTCATTTTTCTTGTTCTGCCTCAGGTAATAGCAAACTTGCCAGCATGCCAGTTGGTGGAGCTGTAGCAGTATCTGCTGGAGGCTCCGCTGCTCCTGCTGCAGGTGCTGCGCCAGCTGCTGGTGAGTATAATTTAGCTTGAAAAAGAATGTTCGTGCAGGTGGGCATCATGCTGGACTTTTGGCCATATGCAAAAATGAAGCTGAAAATAAAAGGTGTTGTGGAACAAGCCCCCAACTGATCCAGCACATTTGTAGTTTTGTCTCACCGAAAGTTATTTACAAGGGCAATGTTTACGTTTGAAATACTGGAAAATTTCTATCAGTACTTGCTTGTACGAAAGAAAAGTCTTTCGAAAGAAATTATTATAGCTGTTCAACTTATTGGACATTTTCCTGTATTCTAATATTCCAAAGTTTCTTTTGTATTAACAATCCTATACAGCCACTCCGTTCTGCTACCTCTCACCAGTTTTGTCACTCCTTTGACTTAGGTAATGTTAGCATACTAGAGAGAAAATGGGTGTTTCCAAACAGTTGGATTATTAGACACTATATGTTGTTGATATATTTTTAATCTTAATTCATTTTATTGTCAGTAGCTGAAATCTTGTTGCATAATATAAGCAAATTTGTAAATTTCAGTTCATTCCCCACTAAAATAAAGAGCCCCCTGGTGATCACAGCATGCATGCAGACACCAAGGTAGCATGCTTGCATGTGGTCCCAGGAATTGTGGCAGCTGCTCTTCATTCACCAAGGAATGGACTGAAATGTGCAAATTTACTTACGTTATAGAACAGGATTTGAGCCACTGTCTGCAGTCTAGATTATGGCTTTGGGTTTTTTCTCCTTTCTAATTTGGTTTTCACAGTTTATCTTTAAGACAATGGTATAAATGGAATATGTCTACAAGTGAGGTGTTGGCTGACTTTCCAAATCAACTTATCTTTTCAGCTGAAGAGAAGAAAGAGGAAAAGAAAGAAGTATCTGAAGAATCTGATGACGATATGGGATTTGGATTGTTTGACTAAAATTTCCTTTAGCGTTAATCTGTAATAAACCTTTGTTAAAATAATTTGCATAGTTATAACCTTATTTACTGGAATGATATTTCTGGCCTTTCTCTGTGTATACTCTAGGTGTTTTACAGGTGGTTTCCTGTGAGAAACAGCTTTGTTGTTGGGTTTTAAGTTTGGGTGTTCAACACAGCATTTTGGAGCTGGATGCAAACCAGAATTTAAGGATTCATTCTCTGCAGAGAGATATTTTCCTATAAACTGAATATTTCAGAAGTTTGGGAGTTTTATTTTGGAAAATGTTTCACATAAGAACGGAAGAAATACTGATTTAATGGTTGTTGTCCTCTGAAGATGCCGGCCACAGAGACTGGTGAAACGTTACGAAGAACAACCTTTAGAACACGGCCAAAGAGCCCAAAAAACCCACAACAACCATTAGATCCTGGCCATGAAAGCCTTCGCGAATACATTAAATACTGATTTGCTTGAAAAATATTTTTAATCATTATGTATCGAATGTTGATTCCCAATTTTTTAAATTTTCAGTGTGTTCAGTTTCAGCAGGACTAGTATACATTGTAGATGGTAAATTGTATTTGTTTTCTTTTAAAAAGGTAGTACTGTACTTACAGCATTAGAGACATCCAGCAAGTACATAGCCTTCAATGCAGAGGAACATGTGGGTGGAGATGCATCAAGTTTTGCAGTTATATGGGAATTTTCATAAGACTTGATCTGATCTTTAAAATGATCTATTTTCACCAGATGAAGCAGCAACTTTCCAAACTGGAGCAAAGCTTTCTTTCCATATTCCTGATTTATATAATATAGTAGGACCTCTGTATCTGAGGGGGATTGGTTCCACCCCACCCCCCAGTTGCCTTAAAATGTGGATTATAGCAAATGCTATTATAATAGCAAATGCTGTACATAGCATGGTCTCTGGCTTCTGCTCATGGCCACTTCTGGTAAATAGGGGGATTTTTCTTTGAATAGTTTTAATATTTTCAGACTGTGGTTAAGTGAATCAGATAAGGGGGCCCTACTATAATCTGATAATTTCTCATGGCCGTAATTTAAAGCTATTTTATAGCATTAAAATATCAGGAGAGAGAAGGATAAAGCCTATGACATTCTGTGTTCAGTCTGGCATTTTCAGTATCTTAGAATTGGGAATAAACTGAAAATTGAACAGTTGTTGCCAACCTTGTTACAGAGATGTATTATTTGGTCGAAATCCAAACTCAAGGTTGACAAATTATTTACCTGACAAGGTGCTAAATAACCAGTATAGAGAGAGACAAGTAAGTATGAAATAGTGTAGAAAAAAATCAGTTGTGCATAGTCTGCGTGAAGTACAAAGACAAACCTATAGTGAACTATGTAATAAAAGCTAGCCAGTTCCTTTTTACAGTGGAGAGATTTTAACAGGATGGAAAAATATAACTTACAGAGTTGGTCAAAGACAAGTTTGTTTATTTAAAATATTGCTATGCTTTCTCCCCGAAAGGACTCAAGCTGGCTTGCACCACTAAAACAGTATTGAAAAGCTGAAACAGTAAGTATATAAATATTTAAAAAGAATTAAACAAGTACTATATTAGAATGGTAATTAAAATCAATATTAAAACACTTCAAACAGAAAACAGGTTGCTTCCAGAAGAAAAGCAAATGCTGCACACACGCTCACATCCATAGAAAAATGCAGTACCCAAAGCCAGCTAAGATCTTTTGATATGAGGCATAAAATCCACAAGCATGTCTTGCCACTCCCTTGTGAAAATACAATGATCAGAAACCAGCTGAAAATTAACACTGATAAAAGTTCAATGTTGTAACTGAGTCAAGGACAGCTGCTAATCAAAGAATCCCTGACATAATGCCTGGTTGCATGCTGAGTCACAGAATTGATCCATAACTAGGAATGTGTTGGATCCTGGCCAGTATCATAAGAAGAGCCATGCTGGATCAGGCCAAGGGCCCATCTAGTCCAGCTTCCTATATATCACAGTGGCCCCACCAGATGCCTCTGGGAGCACATGGGACAACAAGATACCTGTTCTGATACCCCTCCCCTGCATCTGGCATTAAGATGCCTGTTCTGATACCCCTCCCCTGCATTTGGGAGGTACTGTACGTTCCTTTTAAGCCTGGAGATTATATATCCCCATCATGACTTGTAACATGCTGTGAACTTTTCCTCCAGGAATCTGTCCAATCCCCATCATGACTTGTAACCTGCTGTGAAATTTTCCTCCAGGAATCTGTCCAATCCTCTTTTAAAGGTATCTAGCTCAGATGCTATCACCACATCTTGTGGCACAGAGTTCCACAGACTTAACAACACTGGATAAATAATTTCTTTTGTCTGTTTTCACTCCCAACAATTTGGGAGTATACGATTAGGAATTCACTGTCTTTCCGTGATACCCCACACTTCCAATCTACCACATTATCATTTATAGTTGTCAGACTAGCTGTTCACATTCTGTTAAATAAGGTGCTAAGGCAGTAAGGGTTATTGTGTACTCTACCACCAATAGTAAAAGATTTGGGGTGTTGCAGAAGGGCATTGAATTGGTTATTTAGCAACTAATAATTGTTAATTATCAACAGTAGGGGAGAGGGGCAGAATAAATAATTTGACACAATGTGATTAATGACTGCAAAAGAACGGAACTGGGATGTTCTGTCTCCAGGGAGATCACAAATACCATTGTAACTTACCATTGTCTACCTGTTGCCTCAGTGGAAGATTGTCACAAGGGATTTCTGTTTACATTCTTTTGTTTCACTGCCGATTACCACATTGATCCAATAGGATAAAATGAGAAATTTAAATCTTTGCATGTATAAAGAAAACAAAATAATTCCGGCCGTGTTGCTGAAACAATTGCACAGGTCTATGGGGGGGGGGGATCAGGGTTCAGTTCCGGGGTTTTACCAAAGGAGGGAGGGATGGATTTATTTATTTATTTGGCTTTTACCCAGCCCATCTAGATTCAAACAAATCTACTGTGGGCAGCTTCACGTAAATCTACATTTGATAGATTAATTTATTTATTTGGCTTTTATCCAGCCCATCTAGATTCAAACAAATCTCTGGGCAGCTTCACGTAAATCTACATTTGATCCTCAGTTTACAATTGGTTAAGAGGAAAGATAGTATAATTGTGGTATCTTGTCCCCCATATTTATCTGGTCTCAACATAAAGAAACACAACAAAGGGCAAGGGGTGGGGAACTGTTCAGAACCATCTCTAGAATCCTATTTCAGAACCACAGTGTAACTTCTCTGCACTTACAAAGACAACCACACAAAAGCAATCACATATCCCACTATCCCTCTGCCATGCTGATGTACAAGGAGCATGCAAGCTCTCAGTTTTCCCACTATAATCCGGCTGGAATGCTGAAATGTACGGAGTGGGGGTTAATCTGTATTTAGTGCTCTTGCATAATCATCGAAAACATATGCAGCATTTACTTAATACAATAGAGACATTTAGCTGATGCCTCCCATGATCTCTGGAGCAGGAAGTGGTTTAAAGTGCACTGAGTCAATTTATAACTTCTTTTTCTGTAATAGGTCTTTCAGGGAAGCATCCAATTAAAAAACATACAGCAAAATATTTTCAGTTACACACAATTTAAAAAAGTATTTCACACTGCAAACAACCTTCCCCTGACAGTTAATATACTCTGAATTCCCAACTTTTGCAAATTTAATCTATTAACAGATGCTCCAAATATAGAAAACATTACCTGACCTGTATTCAGTGTTCTTGTATAGTCCGGGGAAATGAATTTTTAAAAAATCTGCAGAATGCATTTTTTTGGCCTTTGTAAAATACTGATGTTGATTCATAACCTGTATTTGAAAGATTCAATTGGTATAAATTTAGGCAAAACAAAATACCTATTTTCCACACATTTTGAAAGGCTTTCAAAAAAAAAAAGCCACAAAAGGGTTGTTTGTCTTGTTTCATAGAAGCCATGTTTCCTACAATGCATTTTCCCCAGTTTTTTAAAAAAAGACACAAAAGGGTTGTCTTTTCATAGCAGCCATGTTTCCTACAATGCATTTTCCCCAGTTTTTTAAAAAAGTGAAACGTCTGTGGGGAGTTGTGGGGAGCTTGCATATTCCTCAGCCATACTTTAGGGAATAGTCCATTAAATTCCCACTTAATGAAACCCCAAATGAAATGGTAATTAGTCACACCAAATAGAGACAACCTGGGTTCTTTGGAGGAAAGGTAGGGACAAATTGAATAATCCTTTCTGATGATCAACATGATCTAATTTTGAAACATTTTTCAAAAGTGGCCTGTGATACATCATGAGAATGCTTCTATAATCCTTTTCTTTTAGAACTAATTCAATCCTACTTTATGGTTTTAATTAATAAAATAAACCTGGTAATTTCATTTTAATTCGTTTCTGCAAAACCATCCCATACATGGCGATGAGTGATGCTGTGTACCTCCAAGCCTGAGTGGGGTTTAGGAAAAGGAGGGATTGTCATCTCAAGGGACTGCAAGCTTTTCCAAGAAAATACGAAGAACTCTCTTTCTGTGAAAGTTAGAGACCTTGGTTTCACCCCACTGATTGTGAAAAAGCAACATCCCCCCAAGGAAGGCTAAGAAACAATACGACCTTGTAGGACCCTTCCTGAACACGATGCCCTCCACTCTAGTTCCACAAGTCCCTGCCACTGGGAAGACACAGGCTGTAATCCGACACACTGAATACATGCAAAATTGGGGAAGGCTGCTCGGAACACATCCCCTCAGCAAATCCGAAGTGTGCTTTCTGGGGGCTGAACATGAGCCATAGCACAGAATGCTCATCTTCAGCTCATCCTGGAAGGAAAATACAGTACAATAAATGCTGTTTAAGGTACTGCCCCCTATCCCCACATCTAGTTTCCACTAAACTTCCACTCTTCCTTGGTTGGGTGATAGATCACCTGAGAAGCTTTGGGAAGAAACAGCTTGCGTTCTATAAAAGAATGGGAGCATTCTGACTTATACTCATAATTCCACCTTTCTTCCAAGAAACTCAAGGTGGGAGGTTCTGTCCACTTCCAATTGATCTTCACAACAACCCTCTGAGGTAGGTCAAGCTGGGAGGTTTACCTAACACAATTGCATTTCTTTGCCAAGTGAGGATTTGAACCAGGGCTTTCCCAATCCATTCCAGTCCCTCGTTCTCAAATCATGGGCAGTTTTGGCAGTGGGACGCTCATTCTCCCTTTTCGGGCCTCAGGGTGCTTATCTGCAGTTGCAAGTGGAACAACAGACATCTCACATTGCGAATGGAGGGAGTAAGACATAGAAAATCAAATACAGTATATGTTAGGAAGTCCCTTCTTCTCTGCGCTTTGAAAATATCTTAGCTCAAAATGTTCAGCTTCTGGTAGAACTGACTAGAAAATCATAAACAACACTGCAAATAAAATGGTCATAGTTTAACTCGAGCATTTCCAGTATAGCTGTGCCAGTCTTTTGTAGCAAAATCCAGCCCCACAGCCCTTCAAACCCTCACAGCTGTACCTTCCTGGGCTGGAAGCCACTTCGTCAGACCAAAGGATGTGCTGTTCATTATTTCAAGTTAAAGAAACTCGTTAGGAGCAGGATTTAACCCTGAATTTCCGGTTGTTCCCCCCACCCCACAAGAACAGAAGCGCAAGGGAAGCTTGGGGTTGGCACTGAATATTCTCAGAGCCCCTCATTCCAAATCACCCCCACAAACAAGCTCTACTGCGCACACCACCGACCCCTTAATGTTTATTCTGTGTAAATGAACACAAATACTGTATGTCATAATACGCGAGAGGCAAAGCACTGGGAGAGCTCTCCCCACACGGAAACTTGGCTGCCTCAAAACCACCGGCTCGCTCGCTGGCGCTCCCCCCTTAAAAAACAAAAAAAACCCCAAACTGCACACCCCAGAAGCTCTACTGCGCACACCACCGACCCCTTAATGTTTATTCTGTGTAAATGAACACAAATACTGTATGTCATAATACGCGAGAGGCAAAGCACTGGGAGAGCTCTCCCCACACGGAAACTTGGCTGCCTCAAAACCACCGGCTCGCTCGCTGGCGCTCCCCCCTTAAAAAACAAAAAAAACCCCAAACTGCACACCCCAGAACTTATCTAGGTGAAAGCTGCGGCAGCCCCCGGGAATGCGCCCTCCACCCGCCTCCCCACCGGAGGGGCCGCCCCGAGGTTTTTTCCTTCCGGGCCTCCCTCGGCATCAGGCTCCTCAACCTCACCTCCTGACTTGCACGAGTGACACGGGTAGAACTGGGTGGGAGTAAGCGTTCTGCCAAGTATCAAGGCCCTAAACCGTTTAGGGGTTTAAATGTAAGCGTCAGAACTTTGAAGTCAACGTGGAACCGAATGGGCAGCCAATGCAACGCGGCCAGGATAAGAGAAATGTGATGTTATCTTCACGTTCCACTTCCTTTCCCCCACCCGGCTCCAAGCCTCCGGGCGGGTCTGGTTTCCTCCCGCTTGTTTCCGGCCGCTCTCCCTCCGCGTCGTCCCGGTCCCACTCCCCCGCCGCCTCTCTCCAAGGGCGGGCGCGGCGGCGGCGCTGCTTTGGAGGGGGCGATGTACCCGCCGGGCTCCACCTGGAATATTTCCTTCGCCGGCTGCGGGTTCCTGGGGGTGTACCATATCGGGGTCGCCAGTTGCCTCCGGGAGCATGCGCCTTTCTTGGTAGCCAACGCCAAGACCATCTACGGCGCCTCGGCCGGAGCCCTGACGGCGACAGCGCTGGTGACCGGAGCCTGCTTGGGTAAGGAAGAGAAGCCCTCGTTGTTTCGCCCTTGTGCCCTCCCGGAGGGGAAAAATTAAGTACTGTAGCCCTTGGCGGGCGGGAGGAGCTCTCCTGAGGAACTGTTAGGAAGCTGACCTTCCTGGACCTCTCCCCTTTTGCGAACCGCCTCGGGTACTTTCCCCTGGAGAAAGGCGGCTTAGAAATGAAACAAATCAAAATGAGTAATTGGTTGAAGCGGGAGCTAGCATTGTCCTCGAATCTGGTGGGCTGGTGCCACTTTAACTATGACACACAGCCAGGTCTGGGGAAGAAGAAATTAAATACAGGTACCATTTTAGCCTGAGATAACTCCTCTTGGTGTAGTGACTCTAGTGAGTCAGAGCATCACTGGTGCTGCATGAAAAATATAGCTATGCCCATGTATATTCTCTCATCCCTGTTCACGGTATGTGGGTTAAATGCTGTGAATAATTCCCATAAAGGCCGCAGGAAAACTTTCAGTGGCCGGCCTTAAAAAACCTGCCAAACTGCTGCATAATTATCTGTGTACTGTATGTGATAAATGTTGTCATTGAAGTGGCTTCCATGTGTGCAGACTGCCTTGCTCAAGCAGCTATGTGATTCAGTGGTAATGAAATATGCTGTCCTAAAACATTTGTGCACATAGGGACTCGCTGTCCTGGAGTCCCAACCATTCTTACCACCATAATACCTGTATCTTCTCTTTCAGTGCTCATGCATTATTCTCCGATCTCCCCCGAGACCTGGGGTACAATAAGGCTTACATGTACTTGAAATTAGATCATCTGCTGTTTGCTTTCAAGCCTTGGATGTATACATGCACACACTCTCACTCTAGGAGGGAGCGTGGAGTGCAACAGGGGGCACTAACTATCCTTTAACAAGGCAGTTGGAGTTAGGAATCGGTGTTTACCTTTCAAATCTTCTCTTGTGGAATTTCTTGTAACTCTGCATGTTTTTTAAGAGTTTGAAGGCTGCTGTCCTATATACGTTTACTCACCAGGACTTAATCCTGTGCAAATATACTTCAGTTTGGGTTGCAAGACTCCTGAACATGAAGCCTTAGTCTGAGGTGGGGGAAGCAAGTTTTGGGTTGTTACTTTCAGCCTTGTGCAAGGGGTTGAACTGGATGTTTGCCAAGACCTTCCCGGCTCTAAAATTACGCAGTTTCATCCTCTCACTCCACAAGATGGTAAACAAGATGGTAGGAATGTTGAGACTAAAACAATAGCACAGAAGGCAGAATTTCAGAAGATAAAGATTTACCTACTGGCAAAAGTTTTTCCAACTTGTTCCCCCCACCCACCCAGTAGGTAAAGATAGAGAAGTTATGTTTTTGCAGTATCCCATCATAACATTTGCTAGTTTTTCTGTTTATGCCCCTCCCTCTCTCAGCCTTTTGAGCTGCAATCTTGTGAACGTGTTGGATTTATAAATCAGCATGATGTAGGAGTAGGGTGTTAATGTGAGCAGAGAAAATTTGCAAGCAGGCTTCTCAGTATTGTTCTTTTTAAGTAAATACCAACAGTTGTGGAGATAGCTGGGGACATTGGTTAGCATTAGAAGGACATGGCTATTTCTGCAGTACCATTTCCTTATATTTAGGAATGTTTAGTGTAGTAGTGGGCAACTTGTGGCCTTCCAGGTATTGTTGGGCTGCAGCTGATGGCACAAGTTTTTTGACTACCCAGATGAGGGACCACATTCCAAGAGATACTAATGACTGTTTATTAATGAGCATTAAAAGGAATGAGAGATGGGCACAAATTAAAAAACGAATCACTAAATTCATTCAAAAATGTGTATTTGTACAAATCAATGCCCCCAACAAATCATGAATCAATGAATTTTGAGCATTTTTTGATTTGTCAATTTGTTTGGCTATAATTTCCACACACACACACTCCAAGGCACCTAAAGACACCAACATTGCAGGGAAGCTTCCTCTAACTCTCCTCTAGAATCTCTCCAAGTTTGGGGAAGATTGGATTTCCCCAAGCCAGCTGCTAAAGAGCACTTTTTTTTTTTTGGAGGGGACCCACTTTGTGGGTGTATAACTTGGATGTCTGAAACCCAGTCTTTGTCAAACATGGAGGGATTGTAGAAGAGAGTCGGTAGAAACTTCTCTGTGATTTTGGTGTTTCTAGACGCTCTGGAAAAACTTTCCTGGAAGGGGCTCCTTGTGGGTGTATACATCAGATATCTGAAATCCAAACATCGCCAAAACTTGCAGGGCTTGTAGAGGAAAGTAAGGCGAAGTTTCCCTTTCAAATTTGGAGTCTATAGGTGCTGGGGGGCATTTTATAGGGTTTTCGGGGAAGTTTCCCTTTCAAATTTGGAGTCTCTAGGTGCTGGGGGGCGTTTTATAGGGTTTTAAAGTAAAAAAAAAATGAATTGATGACTTGATTCATTAGGAAAAAAAATGAAAATTGGTCATTTATGATTCATTAACCTTGACGAATCACGAATCAAAATGAATCACAAATTTTCTGATTCGTTTCCATCTCTAATAAGAATCTAAGGATACAGCCTCTCTTTATAGTGTATCCTGTTGTGGATGCTTTTTTTAAAAAACAAACTTTCCAGGACTGCACAGTTACTTCTGCACAGCTTCAAAAAGTTACTTGCTGAGCTCTCAGCTCCTAGAATCTCCCATCAGCATGGTCAGCGCTCTTGGTTCTTGTGCCACCTTCCCTTCTGTAATAGGAGATAAGAGCTGTCTGGCTGTGAGTGTTTCCCTCTTAACTGCCTTGAGCAAATTATTTAGACGGTTACATGGCCTCGATGAATAATCAGTTTGCACCCTTCTTATTACGTTCCACCCACCAAGACTGTTCCACTCTGAGGAAACTGTGCTATAAAACACCGGATGTGGTCAATTGATTTCCTACTCTGCTTGGTGTAAATCATGTGGGTCTAAGATCATGCTTGCAATTCTGTTGGACACTATGATCATTCTTACTAGGACTGGGCATAGTAATTATTATGAATATTTATTATCTAATTATTCTGCTGAATTTTGTTGAATTAGTTAGCAGTTCATGTAAACAAGAAAGATGCTGGGGCTGGTGTTGTCTACTACTGGAGTGCATAATCCCAGATTTGTTTAGGGATGTGGGGCATCTGTCTGTGGGTGCCTATTCATCGTATATTTCTGGGCTAGGCATTAGTATTAAGCATGTTCAGGACTGATCTCTGGTTGAATCTGACTCCCAGTTATGTGATTGCCAGAAAGCTTGTTCTGGAGAGAGCTGCATCTGATGAATCTATTTTTAAGCTGTTCATGACCAGGGTAAAAGATCCATCAGGGATAGATTTGACAACCATAGAATGTTATTTGTAAAGAATAGAAATGGGAAGGCCTGGGGGGAAAAACACCAGAAAAATTGGGGGGAGGAGTTTCCCCCCATTTTTCCCCAAAGCCATGTTTTGTTTTTCTCAGGAGATTTGAAAAAAAAGGAGTATGGAATATGTTCTTTTACAATGATAATATGTCTGTGACATGGTATTCAAACTATATAACATCAAGAAATTTTACATCTCTACTAAATAAATAGTCATGTTAGTCTGTCTCAGCACCTTAGGAAAGTTAAAGCAGGAGAAGCAAAGAAAAAAGAGGAAACATGCAAAATATTGTGGTACTGTAAAGATTTCTTTCAGTGTGTGCTTTTGTGGATCAAAATTTATTTCTTCAGACATAAAATGTCATATCTGTGTGTCAGTAGAACTCATGGGAAGTAACTCCTGTATCATCCTGGCTCTTGGGCAAGAACACCAGTATGTTGTTACATACACCTGTAATTTTGCTTGTTGCATTCACGCTCTGTAAATGTATTTGTCCTTTAAAATTTTAGGTGTGTACTTTTTAGTAAGACTGAGCAAGTACGGTACTCTAGATCTTGTTGGTCTGCAACTCTCAGTTGCCGTAGCACAGCATAGCGAACCCTGAAGGCTCATGAGAACAGTAGTCCAGAAATATCTGTAAAAACCAGAATTGCAAGTCCTTACGCTGTTGTTGGATAAGTGAAATATAGTTCATGCAGTTCATCTTTCTTCTCCCCTCCTCCCTCTTGCAGCCCCCTGAAGCCTCATTTGTAGTAGGGTCCTGCTCTTCCTCAACCACGTGGGCTTTGTCCTCTGGTCTTGCAGTGAGAGCCTTCTTGAGAAGACCCCCATGTCTCACATGGCAGTCAATGCAGAGCTAAGCCCAAATGTAAACAACTCTGCTCCAGTGGAAATGTGTTATATGTTGAGGTTCAAGTGCACAATAACTAGGCAGCAGGATAATGCTGGGCATGCTGGGAAAATGACTGTGTCCTTTCAACAGATCATTAGTAATAACAGTTCCAAGAAGTTGCTTATCTCAATACTTCTAATAGGCGAATTACTCTATCATGCAGACTGTGAATTTAAATAATCAAGGTGCAATTATATAATTCATTTGTGGCATAAAGAATAGGCATTCTCTTACTCTGTTTAATTGATCATTGGAAATACAGTTTTTGATTTTTTTTTGATAATTATGGCTGTAATCCTGTACACACTTATTCTAAGAGAAATCCTTATTGAACTCAGTGCTCTATATAAGGTTACATTCTACATTAGCTTCTGTGAGTGACAAATGTTTACTGTTATAAAGTTTATAAAGTTATGCACCAATAATTCAATAATCTCAATTTACTCACAGCCAAATTTCTGTTATTTACTATCAGGTTGTTTCTGAGTTATGGTGATTCTATGAATTATACGAATTATGGATTCCTAGTGTGATCGAGTGATAGACTGGGACTCTGGAGAACAGGTTGATACTCTGCTCAGCCGTGGAAACTCACTGGCAGAGTGAAACTGGTAAAACCACTCTTTCAATATCTTGAAAGTGCTCTTAGGGTCACTATAAGTTGATTCCTATTTGATGGCATGGGCACACATGAATTATAAGTTAGACTATATGCCCTCTAGTTGATTCTGACTTATGGTAACTCTTACCAGAATTTTCT